TTTCCTATATAGCGCTTGTTTAGGCTAGATCTGTAAGGTAGACCTTCATCAGGAGCTAAAAAGTATCTTGTGACGCCTTTGTACATATTGAACCATTTCTCGTCAATATGCACGAGGTCCATCTTGAAGGCACCTAATAATAACAATAAATAAATAATCATATTGAAATATTCACATTTGTATTAACAAGTGTATGTACCTAGTTGTCGTCGAATGTGCATGAGGCAGTACTGAAGCCGGCGTTGCTTGTGTTCCTCTGTTAGGGTTGGCTTCACGTGCGATACCGCACGTCGAAGCCATCCGCTTTTTAAGTGGCGCCACAGCGTCGTCTTCGGTACCCCGGTAGCATTAGCAAGAGATCGTAGTGTCTGGCGGTCGATGACAGGAACTCCCGCCACGAGACGTGCTATTTCGTCCTTGGTCCGCTTGGTAGCCTTGGATTTACGGGGGCGCTCACGGACCAGAGATGCAGCATCTTTGCGGGAACGCCAGATCTCCCACACGACAGATGTCCCGAGTTTGAAAGTCGCCATAACACTCTTCACAGCAGCGACGGCACCCGTACCGCGTCCGGCAAGGTCAACTAAGAAGAGCGCTATGGCGACTTTCTTCTCGAGGGTTAACTTCTTCGATCCAGCCGTTCATGTCTAGGGGTGTGTCGTGCGTTGAATAATGTAGATTGATACTAAATTGTAAGAATTGAAGTCCAGCAGCCTCAGCTTTAGTTGCCAAATCAAAAGGCTCAATTCTAGCCAGTAATTTTCATTGTGTGGACCACACCTCACTGACCATGTGGTGATCACTCCGTAGAAATATGGTCCAGAGAAGTATTGTTTTATCCCTTTCGTGGCAAAGGGGTGATAAAATCGCCTTTCAAAAAGAAAAATATATACCTTCGTTGACATGGCGCACGAAAGAGCTAATGGTACGCAGCCCGTAGTTTTCCTTACGAATGGTCTATCACAAAATGAAGCGGAACCGTATTGGATGGAGAGTCGAGAGAAGTAATCACGTATTGTCACGGACTGTACCGGATTAGACGGCGGATTAGAAAATGAAATTACGCACTCCTATAGATTTATCGCACCAACTGTCATCGTAGTATACAACATTGCTAATGAATGATGTAGATCGAGCAGGTCAACTCCATCCAACGAATCCTACGCACCGGAATGGCATGCCTATCTCAATATCTATTTTCACATGGATTCTCGGCCTCTGGCTCATTAATGCTTTTACTTGGTGAAACAGACTAACAAGGGTCCTGATGCACCTCACTTCAAAGAACTCGTTTGTGGGTTGTTAGCGTCTGCCCATACATTGGCGAAAAATTGCAGGAACAGCTAACCACAGCGAGGGGTCGCCGTTACTACACCCGGGTGTTGTATTACTAGGAATATACCTTCATCGAATTCTCGAGAAAATCCAAGCTTAAACCATGTATACTACCTTCAACACATCAAAGCGCTCAAAATCTTGCTCACCTGCATCAAGAGTCTAGTAGGATTCCATGTTGAATGTTTCGTGGTGACGCATTACAAATATGAGTTTACCCCAAATGTGGCAAACGCATTAGAAGATCTTCAAGATGCTGAAACCGGAAACTCACCTCCGAAGACGCCCACAAATGACACAACGACATTCCTTGAAAAAAATGGCCGGCTTGCGACAGCACCAAACCGTTCGCAACACATGTAACCTCTCTCTCTCTCTCTCTCTCTCT